TTACATAGGCTGTCCTGGAACTCGCTCTGTAGACCGGGCTGGCCTTGAACTCACAGCTTCGCCTGCCTCTGCCTCCAGAGTGCTGGGATTAAAGATGTGCGGCGCCACGCCCACCTGGTTTGGTTGTTCCGAAGCTATACCCAGTTCTAGTGACCCCAACATCCTGACACTGGCAATGTTCCTTGCTAGACTTCCTGGAGCTCAGCATGGAGGCAGCTGCTCCCCACCACGTGACTCAGGGACGCCACCCCTGCAAGCCTGCGCTGGCAGTCAACCCCAGGGCTACAAGCATCGATGGTCCTGGGGCCAATGAGGGTCTCAGCTCCTCAGTACACATAGCACTTAGAATTCTGCTTGGTGGCAGCCAGCTCCTTGGTCTGTGTGAGAGCACACAAAATCCCTGTGGTGTCTGGGAACTAAATCCTGACATCCTGTTTGGGTTTGGCAGACACACAGTCAGAGTCTCAAGATAGAGCAGGCAGGATGTGGTGAGACATCCAGGAGGTGGAGGCAGGAGGATTGGGAGTCTAAGATCATCCTCCGCTACACGTCAGTCTGGGCTACATAAGGGCTACCCTGCCCGGAAAACAGCCCTGGCAGCGGCACTCGGCCAATACCTCAGCTTCCGGTGGTTGGTCCTCCAGCTCCAGTGTATGGTGGTCTTGGCTGATCGGGATGTCCCAGCCTCAACTTAGTGAAGAAGCATGCGGGCAGCCTGGTAGATAGGGAGGGAGACATCCGGCCCCCACAGCCTGTGCATCCGTGGGACCCGACAGAGTCCGGAGGCCCTGTCAGTACAGTGGCTTCACCTTCCCTCTGGAAACATCCTCTGCCTGGCTGGAAATTTTTTGTTTTGGTTTTCGAGACAGGGTTTCTCTGTGTAGCCTGGCTGTCCTGGAACTCCCTCTGTAGACCAGGCTGGCCTTGAACTCACAGAGATCCCTTTGTCTCTGTCTCCCAAGTGCTGGGATTAAAGGCTTGTGCTGCCATACCTCCCCCCAAAGTTTTAAAATACTTTTATTACTTTTTTTTTTTTTTGAGACAGGGTCTCTCTACATGGCCCTGGCTGGAAGTCAGAGGCCTGCCTATCTGTCTGTCTGTCTGTCTATCTATCTATCGTGTGAGTGCTTGTGTGTGGAGGTCACTGGACAGCTTGTGTGCCTCGGGTCACACTCAGGTCAGCAGGTTCAACAGCCTTTACCCACTGAGCTATCTCCCCAGCCCTCTTTACTCTGGGTGTGCGTGTGTGTGTGTGGGGGGGGGGTCTTAAAATTACCTTTTGCTTTAGATTTTTTTTTTTTTTTCAGAGCTGAGGACCGAACCCAGGGCCTTGAGCTTGCTGGGCGAGTGCTCTACCACTGGCCCAGCCCTTTTGCTTTAGACTTTTAAATTACATTTTTTTGATGATTTTGTGGGGGTGGGATTCATGTAACATGACACATTGCTGGAGTCAGTTCTGTCCTTCCACCATGTGGGGCTGGGATCACACCTAGTTTGTCAGGCTTGGCCACAGGCACCTTTACTCACTTTACAGTCCATCCTGCAGGACGGTGGGACTGTGGAAGGGAAAAAAAGGTGTAGAGAGTCTGCTTCAAGCCCAGGCTGGGGGCTTGGCTGGGACCCCAAAAGGTCCCCAGGAGTCCCGATTAGAAGGTTGTTTGACCTGCAAGGACCTCATCGAGGCCTCCTAGCCATGGCGAGATGCACCTGCAGGCTGAGCATGGCCTCAGGACCTTGGCAGGGCGGGGTGAGGAGGGAGGGCCAGCAGCTTGCCATCCTGGGCCGACAGGAGCTTTTCAAGATCTCCAAGGTGCAGGCAAGGCAGCCAACTCTTTCTGCTGCCTCTGCTGGCGAGGGACTTGGAAGACTTCCCCCATGTACCGCACAACGTGCTCCTCAGAAATGGACAGTGGTAACAGCCGCACAACACTCCAGGAAGCTTTTTTTTTCAGATTTTATTTTTATTATTTATCTTGTTTCGGGGCCTCTCTTTGTAGTCCTGGTTATTCTGAAACTCATATGTAAACCAGGCTGGCCTGAACTCAGAGATCCTCCTGCCTCTGCCTCCCGATTTTTAAAGACTTACTGTTTTATGTGTATGAGTTTATGAGTGTTTGTCAGCGGGTATGTTGTCACCGTGTGCTTGCAGGAGCCCACAGAGGCCAGGAAAGGTTGTCAGATCCCATGGGACTGGAGTTACAGATGGTTGTGAGCCACCATGTAGGTGTTGGGTCAGGTTCTCTGCAAGAGCAGTAAGTGCTCATAACCACTGGACCATCTCTTCAGCCCACCTCTGACCCTGGCCCCGATGCGATGCCATCTTTCAGATATTATCACCTTGGTTCTCAGTGGACAGATACTGAGACTTCAGGCCACTCACTCACCAACATGGAGATCGAACAGGAGCCCCCCTTCAGACTTTTAAGTAAGTGTGTGTGTGTGTGTGTGTGTGTGTGTGTGTGTGTGTGTGTGTGTGTGTGTGTGTGTGTGTGTTGGGGGGTATGCATGTGAGAGCACTGACCACAGGGACCAAAAGAGGGCATAGGATTCTCTGGAGCTGAAGTTACAGGTGGAAGGGGTTGAGATCTCCTGACATGGGTTCTGGGAAACCAAAGATGGGTCCCCTGCAAGAGCAGCAATCTTGCCGGGCGGTGGTAGCACACACCTTTAATCCCAGCACTCGGGAGGCAGAGCCAGGCGGATCTCTGTGAGTTCGAGGCCAGCCTGGTCTACACAGTGAGATTCAGGACAGGCACCAAAACTACACAGAGAAACCCTGTCTCAAAAAACAAAACAAAACTAGCAATCTTGCCAACTCCGAATCTATGGGTCCTAGGGGTCTAATTCTGGTTGTCAGGCAAAGGCCTTTATCGGCTGACTGGCTGCGGAGCCATCTTCTAAGATAGTTTTGTTTTGTCTTTAGTTAGGATCTCACTATGCAGCCCTGGGTGGTTTGGAATTCACAGAGATCTGTCTGCCTCTGTTTCTGGAGTTTTGGGATGAAAGGTGTGAGCCATCATGCCCAGCACTGTGAAATTCCACACCAAGGCTGAAAGCCATTTCCTTACAGTTAAAGTGACCTCCTGAACTGTGTTCACTCAGCCAGTAATCCTGAGAGACCAAAGAAGTCAGGGATAGATTGGTTTTAGCCAGAGACCTAAGGGATGTGAAGTCAATACCACCAACTGATGAACCACATAGCCTGAGAGTGGGTGACTTTGCCAAGCTCTTGGTTCCTGGGGTGAAGGGTACTGTTCTCTTAGTCTTCAGGGACCCTGGCTCAAAAGTCACTGATTTGGTCAGTGACTGTAAGTCAGCAGTAGAGCCCCTGCGTAGATTCCCCCAGTGAGGGGCTGGGGGGGGTGGCTCAGTGGTAGAGCCCCTGCCTAGAATCCCTCAGTGAAGAGCTGGGGTGTGGCTCAGTGGTAGAGCCTCTGCCTAGAATCCCCCAGTGAGGGGCTGGGGTGTGGCTCAGTGTTAGAGCATCTGCCTAGAATCCCCCAGTGAGGGGCTGGGAGTGTGGCTCAGTGGTAGAGCCCCTGCCCAGAATCCCTCAGTGAAGGGCTGGGGTGTGGCTCAGTGGTAGAGCCTCTGCCTAGAATCCCCCAGTGAGGGACTGGGGTGTGACTCAGTGGTGGAGTCCCTGCCTAGAATCCCCCAGTGAGGGCCTGGGGGTGTGGCTCAGTGGTAGAGCCCCTGCCTAGAATCCCCCAGTGAGGGCCTGGGGGTGTGGCTCAGTGGTAGAGACCCTGCCTAGAATCCCCCAGTGAGGGGCTGGGGGTGTGGCTCAAGGTAGAGCCCCTGCCTAGAGTCCCCCAGTGAGGGGCTGGGGGTGTGGCTCAAGGTAGAGCCCCTGCCTAGAATCCCCCAGTGAGGGGCTGGGGTGTGGCTCAGTGGTAGAGCCGCTGCCTAGAATCCCCCAGTGAGGGGCTGGGGGTGTGGCTCAGTGGTAGAGTCCCTGCCTAGAATCCCCCAGTGAGGGCCTGGGGGTGTGGTTCAGTGGTAGAGCCCCTGCCTAGAGTCCCCCAGTGAGGGGCTGGGGGTGTGGCTCAGTGGTAGAGCCCCTGCCTAGAATCCCCCAGTGAGGGCCTGGGGGTGTGGCTCAGTGGTAGAACCCCTGCCTAGAATCCCCCAGTGAGGGGCAGGGGTGTGGCTCAGTGGTAGAATGCTAGTCTATCAGGCAGGAGGGTCTTTATAAATCCTCATCACCATAAAACAAAGTCATCCCCTTGATCTCGGGTGTCTTTGTAATTCAGAGCTGAGCTCTGCTGTTCCCTCCCCGCCACGCTATAGTGGATGAGGAACCCCAGCCCGAGTGTGTGGCGACATATTTGACCACTGGGGCCTCAGGAGCCACCCACAGGAGTGACGCTCATCCCTGGTCTCTGACCATGCTAGCAGGAAAGGGCCCAGCCCAGCCACAGTTCATACTGTCCCACCTGGCTTTGCTCTGACTCTGCATTCCTCTCGTGTGCCAATCCCTGTTCCTCAACTTCCCTGCTGGTGATGTGGCTTCACAGTCAGTACCCAGCCCCAGCCAGTGGCCCTGGAGTGACTCGTAAAACAGGCACATCCTCAGTAGTTCCTCTCGGACAGTTACCTGCCTATCTGGGGAGGGCAGTGCCACACACCCATCTGGCAGAGGCTTAATTAGCCCACATGCTGAGAGGTGGAGCCACCTGATGAGGTCACAGGCACCGCCCTGGGAAATGCCAGTTCCTGCTCTGCCCACAGAGGGCAGGCTTGGGTGTGGGGGAACAAAGGCCTGGGATCCCCGCAGGCCTGGGTGCTCCCCTTTGCCTGAGTCAACTTGGCATCTGCCCTTCATCTCCCCTGCCCCTGCAGCCTCACCCACACCCCCGCAAGCCTCCTCCTACCCCCTGGGATGCCAACATCAGTCGCTGGGATGCAGTTCAGAGGCCTGGCTCCTTGAGGAGGAAGTAGGTGGGGGCAGGTGGCATCCTCACCTAGCCAGAAATCCAGGACATGAAGGCCAGCCCTGGCTTTCCACAGCTTCCTTTATTGCTTTTTTGACTTCCGTATCTAGACACCGGTGTGGGAGCTACCTACTCCAGGAAGCTGCTACCTGCCCGCCGCCCTTTTGGCTTCCAAAGTCACCAGGGTGCCTTCCATCCCAAATCCGTTGGTCTTGAGCCCAGGCCTCACACCCTCATCGGGGCAGGCGGGATGTGGCTGCTGGTGTTCTCCATCCCAAACCCAAGTGACCTCTACACCCCTGAAATTAAAGGACTTAGGCCATCGGCCTTGGCTTGCCCCCATTGGTCCGGTCCCGGGGGTGATGCACCTCTCTACTGTGTCCTGATCCATGGGCCACCTGGGACGTCCCTGCGGCATTACTGGCCCCACGACTGGCCTGGGGATCATCCCGGGACGGGGACTTGGGCGGGCTGGGCGGCTTGAGTGCGCTAACGGCCCGGATGAGGCCCATGCGGCGGCGGATGGAATGGTCCAGGTTGACCGTGCAGCGCAGCAAACTCTGTGCCTCGGACACGGTGAAGGGGAAATCAGTGCCCAGAAAGCGCTCAAAAAGCTCGGGGTCGCCATCCAGGTCCAGCACATTCTGCAAGGCCTTGGTCATGGTGTGCAGCTCACGACTGTTGTCGCAGAAGACGTCCCAGAGACGCGCGCGGCCCTCGGGCGCGCCCCCCGCCTGTTGCCGGTCCTCCAGGCATTGCAGCACCCAACTGAGGCGACAAGGCCACTGGTTGGCGAGCACGACCCAAGCCACCGCGTGACGCGGGGTGGGTCCCACGCGGTCCGGCTGCTGCTGCTGCTGCTGCTGCAACAGGCGCACGGTGATGGGCACCGTGTTGACGATGCGCCGCATGGACACTACGTTGTCGGGCACGTACTCGTACAAGCAGTCGCGCTCGTCGTGCAGGCAGCAGAGCGCCTCCTGGATGCGCCGCGCCGCCTCCGCGTCCACGCGACCCTGCGCGCGCTCCCCGTCCGCCTGCGTCTCCACCGCCAGCAGCTGCGTACCCTCGCCGGCGGCCGAGCCCTGGCTCTGCGGCTGCAGCTTGAGCGTCAGCTCCCGGAACAGCAGATCGTCGCGGCTGCGCACCGCGTCGTGCAGGAACTGCAACTTGGTGCGACGGCCCATGACCGGCACCGAGAAGGGCAGCGTGACCGTGCGGTTGAGGAACAGGTAGCCGTTGTCCGCCGTGCCCTTCATGTTGCCCGCGCTCTCCAGGCACGCGGCCAGGATGCTGGGGTCCACCACCAGGATGAAGATGAAGGGTGCGTGGCTGTCGGACAGCAGCGTGTTGATGGCGTTCAGCACGCCCACCACGCGCTCCGGGTAGCACGTGTCCAGCCCGGTGACCTCCAGGACCACGCGCAGCCGGCGTCGCTGGTAGATCTCCAGGAAGCACAGGAAGTCGGTGAGCAGCTCCACCTCCTTCTTCACCTCGCACATGAAGCCCAGCTGGCTGCCGAACTTCTCACGCGACACTAGGCGCTCGATCTTCTTGCGCTGGCTCACGAACAGGTGCTTGCCCACGGAGTACACGGCCATGAGCAGCCCCGAGCCCGACAGCGTGGTGGCCGCGCCGCCCAGCGCCTTGAGCAGGCCACGACCCGTGTGGCCCGGCGCGTGGCCCCCCAGCGACAGGTACAGCAGCCCCACACCCAGGCACAGCGCGGCCAGCAGCGCCAGCAGCGCCAGGCACACGCGGCGTCGGCAGTGCCACTCGCGTTGACAGAGGCCGTCGCGTGGGCTACCGGGCTTGTTGCCCAGCACCGAGTACACGCTGAAGGGCAGCGCGCCGTAGTGGTGGCGGATGCCCTCGCACAGCGTGGTCACCAGCCCCGCCCACAGCTTGTCGGTGCCCGCGTACTGCCAGGCGCTGAAGCGGATGAACAGGAAGCGCACGTTCCTGCGCCGCAGGTGCAGCTCGGTGATCACCGGCTGCAGAAACACCAGGAACCACAGCAGCTGCGGGACGCCCCAGCCGCGCACGCGCCGCGGCCGCCACTGCACGCGCTGCAGCTCCTCGCTCTCGCGCTGCGCGGCCTCCTGCTGCATCAGCGCTGGGGGAGGGGAGGGAAGGTGTCAGTGGAGATGGCCGGGAGGGGCTGGGCCCAGGTGCGTGTAAGCGGAGGTGGGGAGGCCTGAAGAGAGAGACTGGGAGGTCGAGGACAGGAGTAGGGACCCTCCTGGAGAGAGGTAGAAAGAGTCGGCAAGAGGGGGAGGCACCTTGGATGTCCTATCCATCCATTCCCAATTCCAACCGGGAATGAATGATAGGTGAATGAATGAATGAAATGCCCGAGTACAAGAATATGGATGGATGGATGAACAAATGAATGAAAAGCCTAGGTACAAGAAGATGAATGGATGGATAAATGAATGGGTGAAATGCCTGGGTACAAGATGAATGAATGGATTACGAATGAATGGGTGAGTGAAATGTGGGAAGAGGACAGGCCAGACAAGGAAGCAGGAACACAGCCTGAGTCTGTCTCTGGCTGACTGCCCCTCCTCCGGGGAGCCTACCCTGATCAGGCTGGGTCAGGGACCCACTCTTGCTGTTACTGTCTCAGGCAGGGCAGGGCCCTGGCTGCTGTCTTGGTCATCCCTGGATCCCCCAAGCACCAAGGAGGTGCTGGCGGTATCTGAACAATGGGTGGTGAGTACCCTGGGACAGGATGTGAGCCCAGTGATGAGTGAGTGGGGACTGTCACCTCGCCCATGACCTAGCCCGGGGCTGGAACTCAGGAGCATCCTTTTCCGTGTCCTGATCTTTTCTTTTGACTGCATCCCTTGTCACAGCACGGGGTGGCAGCGAACAGTCAGCAGGGACTGAACTCACTCCAGCCGTGACTGAGTGTGGCAAAGGCCGCCATGTCCAGCTGCTGGCCAAGTTTCTGCTGGTGTCTTCAGTGTACCTCAGTGTGCTCGGGATCTTTGGGGACCCCACCACCACCACCACCACCACCAGAGTGCGGGGCTTGCATCAGAAGCAGGAGTGTGGCCTGCAGCCTTAGTGAAGAACCCAGGCTTTCTCCTTAGGGTACCAGGGAGCAAGGGATGTTCTTGAGCAAGGGTGGGGAAGGACCAGAGGATGCGACTTGGAGAACAGGGAAGGGACCAGAGACCAAGTTTCCTGCCCACTCCCCAACCCCCCGCCTGCCCTCGAAACAGGCAGATACTCACTCATGATCTTGTCCAGCATCATGTGAAGACGGCAGCCGAAGGGAGCGTAGAAGCCCACGGTCACGGGGACAGGCACGTGACACAGAGTTTTAGCCAGACAGCTGCAGTAGACATCGTCCTCCGTCAGGATGTCTGGAGGGGGCAAAGGGAAACCGAGTCAATGGCGCTGGTTGGGCGCCGCCCTCCCTCCTCCCGTGTGCCCTCCATGCCCTGCAGCCAGCCCTGCTCTGCCTGCCACCAGCACTTTGGATCCTTCTGGATCCCCACGGTGACTCAGGTCAAAGCCCTCCGCGGAAGCGCATCCGCGCAAGCGCATCCACGCCCCTTCTAGGATCTGGGACTGACCCAGAGATGTGCAGAATCTGGCCTTCTTGGCCCTAAATCATTAGGCCTGCTCAGCCCTTTACATGCCCATGGTTCTCCTAGGAAAATCTCGTGGGCCTTCCTTGGGGCACAAGGCCCTCGAGACTATGCCACTCTCGCACCCCCCAAAGCTCCATACACTCCCCAGTTTCTCACAGGGATTTCGGAACCATGGCGGCTTGTGGGCCACTTGTCCCTTCTCGTGACCAGACACTAGGGAGGGTAAAGAGACTGACCTAGTCACTGGTCAATGCCCCTGTATCCAGTGACCACTTAGGACGCAAGTTCCTCATCCCAGAAGGCCTTGTGCACAAGCACCACAGCGTCCCCTCTAGAGGGGGCTCCTGCCCTCCTGAGCATTACTTCTTGGACCTAGAGTTAGGATGTCCAAAAGGTGGGGCCCACTCATGGAAGCTGACGTGGTGGGCTGCGGGGTGTGGCTGTGACTGGTAGCCGAGCCAGGAAGAGCTGAGGACAAGGTAAGCTGAGGTGGCAGTGGCCTGGGCGGACCCCAGCCATGCCTAATCAATGGGTGACCTCACCTTACTAAGCCTCTCTTTTTCTGAGTGTGAAATGGACTTCCCGGCCCCGGGGCGCCATGGCAGGTCGTGCATGCCCAACCTTGCTGTGAGTTCTCACTCATGACCTGTTGCTCTACTTCAGACCCGGGTCCTGAAACAGCTGTGTCCCCCACCTTTGGGGCCGCCACCCCGAACCTGGCTCAGCCCCTCCCTCCTCCGGATGGACTCTGTGGCTGCCTCCTCCCAGGGGCCCCTTCTCTGAGCCTAGGCCTGTCTCACCTTGGCTGTCCCGGCGGCAGACCACCTCAGTGCCTAATATGACCCTGCCATCTGAGTGGTACCCTGACGATGGCCCCGTTCCAAGCCCGGGGTCCCCTTTCCCTCAAAGTGATTGTCACCGAGCTGTCTTCCTGTAGCCCGCTGTACTAGGTGACCTCCCCCCCCCCCAGCGCTCTCCCATGCTCTCCCTACCTCTCCTTTAACCCCCACTCTCCACCTGTGTCCCCCAGCACCACAGCTGGCCAAAAAGCTGCCCCAGGTCCTTATCACCCCCCGCCCCTTGTCCTCCCTGGCCTTGTGGGCCAGTTGAGGTAGGGCTAAGAAAAGAGAAACCAGAAGCAGAGCACCAGCGGAGAGGAGAGGCAGAGGCCTGCCCCAGAAGTCAGGGACCCCAACAGTTAAGGTAGAGACCAAGGGCTGGGGATGAGCGCTCTCCTGACAGGGACCACAGTGTGTGTGGACTGAGGACAGGCCCAAGGTGCCAGCCGGGGAGCAGAAGGCCCAGGCGGAAGCAAGGCAGATGGGGACGCAGCCCCAGAAGGAAGGCCTGGGCTCAGCACCGGCGCCGTAGGAGGTGAAGGAGCCGCAGGCTGGAGGCGCAGGCAGGGGCCGCGCCTCGGTGGGCTCGCTGGGCTCCAGGAGGGCGCCGGATGCAGAGGGCAGGGCTGGGCTGCTGCTGGCCGTGGCTGATACTGCTGTGGGTGATGAAGTGGCAGGTTGCGGGGCGCTGGCTGGTCCCATGCGGGCAGCGGCGACCGCAGGTGACCCCTTCTGGGCCCCGCGAACTGGACAGAGCCGCTGCCGCAGCGGACTGGGAGGGAGGGGTGGGGGTTGTCGCTGTTGCTGCTGCCGCTGTCGCTGCAGAATGAGGGGCTGGGGACACCTGCGACAGCCGCTGCCACCCCGGTGGCTGTGATAAGCCTGCTGCCAGTGAGCCTTGGGGGGCAGCTGACAGGGCCCGTGGGCGTGAGTGGCCACCGGGTCCTGGTACCACTGACGACAGCATCCTGGAAGGAAGGAAGTGGGGGGGACTGGGACTGGGTCCCGGTCTCCCTGGGGACACTGGCTTGAACCAGGTTGTGCTATTTGGTAAGGCTGGCCTGGAGCATCCATGGGAGCCCCAGAGGCCCCAGGAGTGAGAGGGGCACCACGGACCCAGGTGATGTCAGGGACAGGACATACAGGGTCTGCGCTTTCCAGGGAGGACCAACAGAGGACAATACCAGAGATTCGTGCATCTTGGCACCCCAAATCCTGAGACTAATTTCCTGCATCCCTCGGGGGTCCTTGCTGCAGAATCTTAGGGTGAGGATGGCTGAGCTGGTCAGAAGTGGCCGTGGAGAGGGGACAGGCTAAGGGCTGAGAAGGCAGGTGGGGCCTGAGCTATCAGACCCCGGGAGTCTGTGACACCTTTAACAGGAAGTCAATGACCCCTCCCCACTCCCCTTGGTCATTGTGGGAATCTGAGGCACTACCATAGACGCACTCAATGGGGGCTTCCCGCCTCACCCTGCTCCCCCCACCCTGTGACTCCTCTGGAGGTTGTCCCCCACAGCCTGGAGATTTTCAAAAGGGATTTCCTGCTCCCACCCCAGTGAATGCTCCAACTTTGGGACTCTACAGGGGACAAGCGTGGTGGTTATCAGATTCCTGTGAGCCTGGGGTAGGAGGAGTGTTTGAGCCTAGGTCAAGGCTAGCCTGGGCTACAGAGTGAGACCCTGTCTCAGCCCTTTTCAGTAAGACCAGTCTCACTTTGTAACCCAGGCTAGCCTGGAACTTGCAGCAGTCCTCCTGCCTCAGCCTGGAAAGTGCCGGGACTACAGGCATGTGCCACAACAATTGGCTCTGTGGCTTTTCTCCCGGAGGTTGTTTCTGCGGGTGCACATGAATTCAGCACCCCCACCCCCCACCCACTTCTCCTGCCACAACCCACCCCCTCAAAATGAGCTCTTACCTTTTTGGTGCCCCAACTCAGGATCCAAAAAGTATTGCTCGTCGGGGGTCCGGCCACTCTTGGTGAAGCGGACATTGTAGTTCTTCTGCATGGCGGGCCGTGATGTCAGCGGCCCGTTCCTAGATGGAAGGGTCAGTGCTCGCTCAGCTCGGTGGGGTCCCTGGGCTATTTTAAGATGACCCCTTGTGATCTTGGACAGGCAAGAGGCACAGTCCAGATGTGGGGGAGGGGGGTCTTCCCTGGGTCACTGGAGTGGGCACTGAAGTGAGGGAGAGACAATGGCCAGATGGCTGGGGGTGACTGTGGGGCCAGGTGGGGAGTACAGCGGGATAGGAGGTTGGTGCAGCCTGACCTGGGAAGCCACCAAGCAGAGCCAGACTAGAATCTAAGAGTAGGGAACTTCCCCGGCATGGCGGCACATGCCTTTAATCCCAGCACTCAGGAGACAGAGACGGGAGGGGGAAATCTCTGATTTTGAAGCCAGAAAGAGCTACAGAGTGAGACCTCTCACAAAGCAAAAGAAAAAATAATAAATAAATAAATAAATGAATGTGGGGAACTCAACACGGGGGGGTGGGGGGGGACATCTGGGGTTAAAAGCGAAGCTGGTGTCTTCTGAGGAGACACAGGCAGAGGGAGTCAGGGGGCGGGCGCGGCGTGTCTGGAGGAGCCAGAGCTGAGCTGGGAAAGATACTGTCTGGCCCAGGGCGATGGGAACCTGGGTGACTGGGGTTGGGGATCGGGACAATGGTCCAGCCTACCACCGCATGCCCCCCACATCCCAGCCTGGGCTCTCAGTACCTACCTGGTGGTGGCCCCGCGGCCCCAGCTCTCTGCCGTGGCCCCCGCGCAGGCCTGGCTGGAGCCCAGTGGCGCCCGCTCGGCCGGTTCTCCGGCGTGTGTCCCCGCCCTTTGGGCAGGCGCCTGGCCTGCTGCTCTCTAGGACTGGGTGCCCCGGACAGGATGAACCCAGGAGGGGGTGGAGAGTCCACAGCAACCCTCACACCAGGTTTCTGGACACCTCGGCTGGGAGGGAGGAGGCAGAAAAAATCCCAACAGTCTGCTGGCTCCGGCGTGGCACAGCTGTGTGACCATGGGTCAATGACTTCATCTCTCTGGGCTTCCTCATTGATGAATAGGCCAGGTTGGCACCTGTTTCCTGAGGTTGTCAAAAGGATGAGTCCATCCAGCCCTTAGGGCCAGCACCAGCTGACCCATTTACCAAGTGCTGCTCTGAATGCCTCGCATAGATCCCCGGCAACCGGCTTCTGAGCCTGCTCACTCGGTAGCCCCCTTTATCACCACAACCCACAGAAGTCGTGCCCACTTCACAGATGAGAAATCTGAGGCCCAGAGACACAGAGCCGGGAATGAAAGGAAGTGGTGGCTACCAAGCCCTGTGCTTGGTCGGGCCAGGGTGGTGCTGGGAAGAATGGCACCCCACACTGTGGAATTCTTTCCTTGCGTCAGCGGGGGCCTGGGTGGCCACACTGCCTCCCGCTGTCAGGGCCTGGCTACTTTCCTCCGACTGTGGTTTCTTTCCTGCCAGCTGTCCTTGGAGCCCCTTCTTTGGGGAGTGTCCCCTGGCCCATCTAGGAGGCAGGGATGTATCCAGAGGTGAACCGTGGGGTGCCGGTCCTGCTCACTAGGCTGTGTAGAAAATAAAGGCCAGAAATTCAAGGCTACTCATCCATAGAGGGGACTAGGGTGGGACTGAGCAGGCAGGGGGTCATGCATGCAAATTGGAGTACCAAGAGTTTAGTTGTAGGGAGCTGGAGAGAGGGGCAGGAGGCCAGGGAACACAGGGGACGTCTGGATACAGAGGTGGGGGCTTCAACCATAGGGACGCCGCTGAACCTGATGACACGTATCAGTCATCTCTTGGTAGACTGAGGCAGGAGGACCAACTGAGTTCAAGGCCAACCTGAGCTACATAACTGGACCTTGTTTTTGGTGTTTTTTGTTTTTGTTTTTTTGAGTCAGGGTTTCTCTGTGTAGTTTTGGGCCTTTCCTAGAACTTGCCTTGTAGCCCAGGCTGGCATTGAACTCACAGAGAACCGCCTGGCTCTGCCTCCCGTGTGCTGGGATTAAAGGCGTGCGCCACCACCACCGCCTGGCTCTAGATCTTGTCTTATGTGTATGAATGATTTGCTTGCATTTATGTGTAGATAGCTGGTGCCCACGGTAGTCAGAACAGGGCTTCTCAAATCCTCTGGAAGCAGAGTTACGGATGGTTGTAAGCCACTATGTGGGTGCTGGGAATCAAACCTGGGTCCTCGGCAAGAGCAACCAGCCCTTTTAACCTCTCAACCATCTGTCCTGTCCGGTGGGAGAGACCTTGTCTTGGGGCTTGGGGGACTGGAGCGATGGCTCAGGAGTTAACAGTGCACACTGCTCTTGCAGAGGACTGGATTCGGCAGACGTACACAGAATTACAAATTAACAGAAGAGCCAGTGGCCCTTGCTCCTTCCACTGGGGTCTAGCCCCACCTCAGTTTGCAGTCCTGGGTGCCTACACACACAGCAGTGGGCTGCAGAGTCTGGGCCCAAGTGCAGCCTCAGATGCTACAGATAGAACCAGGAGGCGGCAGGGTGAGGCTGTGTTCACCATGCCCTGCTGGGCCAAGGGCAGCCCCAGACTTGTTGGCTGGCAGAGCCCGTGAGCAGGGCCAGGTGTTCAGGGTGGGGGTGGGTGCAGAGGGACATGTGACAGTCACTGCACAGGTCTGTTTCCACGTAAAGAACTTTATTGAGCACTCCATCTGGGTGCTGGAGGCCTTAATGTCCCTCCATGCCCATTCTGAAGTCATTGGACGGTTTTGCCTCCTGGGACCCTCCAGTTCCTTTCATTCCCTCGTCTGAAGCATGCGATCACCTCAGAGCCTGTGAACTCCAGCTTCAAAGCCACCTGCAAAGGTGACCACCTGGACGGGGCCAAGGAACCAGTCTCCTGAGGCTGAGGTCAGGCCGGGCAAGCCTGGGGTCCTCAGGACTTCTGGATCACCACCTGGAACTTACCTGGAAAGGAAGGGCCACCTTGAACTGGGGCTGGGACAGGAAGCCTGTCAGCAGGCTGGCTGTTCACCTGAACCAACAGCCTGGGGCACCCTGGAGTGGGTCACGGGGGTACCACCCCCACCCAACTGGCCTGCATCCCAGATCATGGGGGAGCCCAGAAACAGGTGGCTGAACATGTAGGAGGCAGGAGGGCTGGCCTGAGCTCCTGACATGTCCTGCTCATTCATCGCAGGTCCCCACAGTGCCATGGAGGGGGTGGCAGCTGCTCACTGGGGGGCAGGGCTCAGGCCCAGCCGTGCCCTATGGGGTCACGATAACAGCAGATGGGCCGTGAGTTGCCACTCTTCAAAGCCACTGGGAGCCTGGCCAGGGTGTCTAAGATGTCCCACTGGGTCCTGTGCTACCCTCTACCCTTAGAGGCACTCCAGGGACACAAACTGGGTACACGGATGTGCTCACGTTAGTGGTCTCTGGGCCTCAAATTCCATGTCAGATGTGATTTGATAATCTGGTTCCCCTTCCCAACATGGATGAGGGACCCATCAGGGATGGGGAAGCCCCAAAGCCTACACCACATTTAAGGGATGCAAAGCACCTCTCCCTCCCCCAGTGACTTACAGGCAGGCAGGGCAGCCACAGAGGCGGTGACCAGGCTCTGGAAGCCCAGCGTATGGAGGGCGCCGCACAGAAGGCCGCAGGTGAAGGCCAGGAACTAGGGTGGGGACACAGACCACTGTGGGAAGAGGGGAGGCCAGGCCCGAGCCCCAGGAGAGGCCTAGCAGGGGGTGGGCAGATAGGCGTGTCCTGTACTGCCCCCAATACCTTGGGAGCTTCCTCTAGATACTGTGACCCCGAGCCCATGGTGACGAGGAGGGGGAAGCTGTTGTCCTGCAGCACGTAGGTCCCCTGGTGACAGAAAAGAGGCGGACGGGGCTGGGCACTGACCGAGGGAAGGACCCCAGTACCCAATCCTGCAGAGCTGCAGGGGCCTGGGTACCCAGGAGCGCCAGGAGAGGCTGATGTCCTGGGCCATGAAGCAGTGACAGGGAGTGGGCATGGCATGGGTGTTCAATGGGGACTACCACAGCCTGGGACAAGAATCATCATGTCGAGGCCACCAGCTGCCTGTGGAGGGCTCACTCCTGACAGGCAGGCTGAAGTTGCAGAAATAACCTTGCCACCTCACTGCAGCCCTGGCTTCCCTGAGGGCCTCCAAGGAGAAGGGGCAGATGATAATGGCAATCTACGGTTGGTTCCTGTCTCCCAAGTCCCCGGGGGCCCGCTGTGGCATTCTCTTGTGGGGTCTCCACTGCCCCCAACCTGGAGGCCAGGTGCTGGGGCTGAGCCAGGCCAGCTCACATACCCACCTGATGGTTGGTGCGGAGTCCATCTATGTGCTTGTGGAACATGGCAGCCCACAGGTCTTTGCACAGGAACTTGAGGGCATCCAGCTCCTCTCTAAAGGCCAGCGTCTCCCGGGGCAGCCTAGATTGAGGATGTGGAATGAAGCCAGGCCCATCCAGTACATGCGTGGGCCCATGAAACCTTCCCCACCCTAGGTCTTGACAGCAGGAACCCCAACATCAGGTCTGCCCACCCTCCCGGGCAGCAGTGGAAGGCAGGTGGGGCTGGCTCTCACCTCTCACCCAGAGCCTGGCCCACGCGGAAGCCCAGGCCCTCCAGGACTGACAGGCTCTTCTTCTTTCCCTAGAAGGCCAGGAAAGGGAGGCTCAGGAGGACGCTGTGCAGGTTTCTCTCCTTGGCCGGGAAAGCTCAGCTTCCAGATCCTTCTATCTGATCCTGGTCTTCTGACCAGGTAGAGTCCCTGAGCCCAGCCCTCTTGTCTGTCCCCGAACCCATGTTGTCCTTTTGAGGTTGGGGCCTAGCTGCCAAGTTCACCTAGGCCATCAGTGGCTGGCACAAATACCCAACCTGAGAAGTGGGGACTGGGCTGAGCAGGCATGCTGTTCCAGGTGCTCATGGGAACACTATTTGTGCTCAACCTTGGGGAGCTAAGGCAGGCTGCACTCCCTGGGTGGAACCAGGCTCCGAAGGGTTAAGAAGCTGCCCTAGGCCACTGTAGACCTGTCACCCCGGCTACTTGGAAGGCTGAGGCAGGAAGGTCAATGATGTGCCTGAACTAGAGAACACGTTCACGGCCAGTGTGGGCAACTTGGACGAACCCTATCTTGAGAAAAAAATTCAAGGCAGGTGTGGTGGGGTACTCCTATAGTCCCAAAATTTGGGGAGCAGAGGTGTGAGGACCAGGAGCATGGGGTCATCCTGAACCACAGTGAGCAGAAAGCAGCCTGGGCTACACGAGGCCGTCTCGCACAGTTACAGAAGAGGGTTAGAGGCGTGGCTTAGTAGTAAGGTGTGCTTGAGACCTTGTATCCAATCCCACCTCAACACACCAAATCACGGTGCCAACTCAGGGCAGGGGGGCCTGGATGAAGGGCATCTACGTTTCAAATCTAGGTGTTAGCCAGGCATGTCAGTGCCACCTATGAACCCAGCACTTGAGGGACTGAGGCAGAAGAATCACAAGTCTGAGGCCAGCTGGCTATGTCTCAGACGCCGCCCCCCAAAAGCTGGGCATGAGAGTGCACTTTTTTTTTTTTTTTTTTTTTTTTGAGACAGGGTTTCTCCATGTAGCCCTGGCTGTCCTGGAACTCGCTCTGTAGACCAGGCTGGCCTCGAACTCCACCACCCAGCAACAGTACACACCTTTAATCCCAGCACTCTGCAGACAGAGGTGGGTGGATCTCTGTGAGTTCAGGGCCAGCCTGGTCCACATAGTGAGTTCCAGGACAGCCAGAGCTACAAAAGAGAGAGACCTTGTCTCAACAAAACAAAATATAAAGAATAAAAACAAAACGGAACATCAAAGCAAGCCAGCAAAACAGCACAGCAGGTAAGGGGCTAGATGCCAAGACTGACGACCTGAGTTACGTTCTGGGGTCTCACAGGGAAGGAGGGAACTGACTAACTGTAGCTGTTCCCTGACCAGGTACAGTGGCGCATGCCTTTAATCCCACATTCAGGAGGCAGAGGCCGGTGGATCTGAGTTCGAGGCCAGCCTGGTCTGCAGAGTGAGACTGTTTCAAAACCAACAAGCTGTGTGTGACCTTCACACTCATGCCATGGCCTGCTCCTTACAAAATAAATAAATGTAGCAAGAACACACCACTGAGCAGCCAGGCCTCACCCAAACGGGCAGAGATGACACACCTTCCCACAGGAGGATGGTGGGGAGCTCTGCTGGCTTCCTCCAGCACAGCCTAGGGAGAGAGGCTTTGGTGGCGGATCATACATGCAGGAGAGATGCTGCTGACCTGCAGGGTGGCATGTGGGAGATCCTGTCACATCCGTCACCCTTGGGCTGGTATTGTACCCTCACACTTCCCGCATGTGGAGGGACCAGGGAGATGGAGTGGCATAGAATGTCTGTGCCTCAGTTTCTTTTTGCATGAAAGGAAGGTAGCCTTAGCAGCAGTCCCCTGGGATCCTTAGCGGTGAGGGAAGGGGCCAGGGGCATTCAAACCACAAATCAACCTCTTAAGCCTTACTGTGGCACCCTGCACATGGGGTGTGCACCTGTGTCCATCAAAAGAGGTGCTAGCCTCTGGACAATGTGAATGAAGCCATTACCTGGAGCAGAACCCTGTAAAGGAGGTGGCTATGTTCCAAAGCTCCAGAACCTAGAATAGCCTGGTGGTTGGCAAGCCTGGGGACCCTGGTGGCCACTGATTCCCTCAATTCCTGGAGGCAGAGCCAGCTCTACTGTTAAGGAATAAATATGTCCCTGCTCAGGAGTCCCTAGGGTTACAAGGAACGTCCAAGCCTCTGTGGCTCAGGCTTCCTGGTTGCAGACACAGGGCAGGCCCTCCAGCCAAGTTGGGATCGGAGAGGGGTCAGAGGGGTCGCTAGCAATCTCAGGTTTTCCTTTCACAAACGTCATTCCCAGGGATGGACATCCTGGATGTGTGACCTAGATACAGTGGCCTCAGTTACCCACATGGGCAATGAAGCTCAAGGCCATACCTACTCAGTG